GCACCATAAAAGAACCATTTTGAAGAACATTTTAGAAATCTTAAGAACCTTTTTCGACTATAAAGAACCTTTACTGCATTTGAAAGGTTCCATGGATGTCATTGAGAACCATTGATGCCAATAAAGAACCTTTATTTTTAAGCGTGAAGATATAAAGTTTTAGGATCATGAAACTGTCCAAATGTTAGCAAAGTTGTGATTCTGATCATCTGAATTCATACAGATTGTCAGATTTGTTGCGCAGTTTTTGCATCTATTAAAGCACAAAATGGTTTTTTTCTTCACAAATTATGCTGGATCACGTGATCATCAGGTTTCACACAAACTTGTGGAATCTACTATAAAACACAACAATGACAACAAATATTTTTACATTCTTTAATTAGGGGTCAAGCACCGAAAGTGCGTAGGCACCTATTGTTTCTGTTGGTGTTCCTCTTCTTCCGCTCTCGAGTCTATGGCAGCCCATAGAACCGATTGTGGGGACAGTCAGAACAGTCACCATTGCAAATTTGGAGTCTCTAACTCAAACTCTGTAGCACCACCACTTGTCCAAAGTTTCACTCATGTTTATGCTAATAACATTTGAACCGTAAAGCACAGAAGGAAAATTATTTTTTCCTCTGAATCCTTGGCTCATGCCGAGTCGAATGAACTCCAAAATGTAAAAATCGTAAACTTTAGTTTTTTCGCTATTTTCAATTGTTCGAAAAACATACTTTTTCTAACTAGTCCCAAAATTGGCTCAGATCATCTTCAGACCATGCTGGTAAACAGTTATGGAATTCAAGTTGATTCATCAAACCGTTCTTGAAAAACACGCAAACGAATTCGACGAAGAGCATGCAAAAATGGGTGTGAGGCTATATCTCCGCAATGGTTTGGCGTATTTATTTTGGTGCGTGTTATAACAAGCATGACTTGAGACTATCTGCAGTGTTTCGTGCAGTGCCACCTGGTGGTCGGGAGATATGAAATAGCTATTATTGCTTATAACTTCTGAATGGTTTGACCAAAAATCACAAAACTGGTCTTTTTAGATTCGGTGGAGCATGCCGAATTTGACCATGTCAGCCATTTTGAATTTTGACGTAAAATGCTATATTTTACAAACGCATTGACGTATCATTACGAAACTCGGTATGCTTCTTCGGCACCATGCCCTGATGGTACTCAAAACGTTTGGGGGCAAACCAAAAATGCTAATAACTTTTGCTTACATTAGCCTATTGTAATGAGACTGATGTTGATAGATTCCTTGTATCATGCCGAGAACATCGATACCAATTATGTCATAACTGGCCGAACGTCCTGTCCGCCATTTTGATTCATGTTGAAAACCTACCTTTTCGAACTCCTACAGCGTTTGTCCGATTTTCACCAAATTTGACTCGGATCATCTTCAGAGCAAGCTGGCAAAGAGTTATGGATTTCGTGTCGATATACAAAACGGTTTTCGTTTAGCGCATCAACAAATTAGCTGGAAAGATGCCACACTGCATCTGAGGCTGTATCTCTGCATAGCTTTGACATGACACCAAACTTTGTGTGTGCCATTGTCACCTCACACAGAACACACCGAATTGATTTGATTACAGCGCCACCTGTTGGTCAGAAGTGATAAGCCATTAAATCATATTACTAGAGGTTTTATTCATGTTTTTCAGCCATTTCAATTACAATCATCCTAAAATTGCTTTTATTACTCATTGTTGCATTTGGTCTGATGCTCCATGCCATGCTTAGCTCCTCATTTTGCCTTTGGAGTGCTTGGCCCCTTAATTGTTGCTTGCAGCTATATTTTATATTTGCTTTTCAACAGGAATTCATGTGATTGGGCGAAAAATTTCCCCACACAGATTTCACAACAGGTTCACAAATTGGTCACGTAAAATAGACCTATATTGCTTGTGAAATTTCGGTAATGGCTGATAATATTTCCATTTCTAATGGAAAAAAAAAATCCCTTCATCCATCCTAAACCATAAGAGCAACTCACTACTTGATTTGAGCAGGGTTTACACCAAAAAATAAGTTATTATAATTCTAAACTGCAAATACAAAAAGAAAACATCCACTCAAGAATTTTTTTGTAAATTGAATTTTACTCAATTTTGATCCATTACTGCCCATTCAAATTGTATAGATGTATTTACACAAAGATTTCAAAAAAAAAAAAAAAAAAGGCTAATTCATGGCTGATAATATCACTACTTGATTTGAGCAGGGTTTACACCAAAAAATAAGTTATTATAATTCTAAACTGCAAATACAAAAAGTAAAAACATCCACTCAAGAATTTTTTTGTAAATTGAATTTTACTCAATTTTGATCCATTACTGCCCATTCAAATTGTATAGATGTATTTACACAAAGATTTCAAAAAAAAAAAAAAGGCTAATTCTAACAGGAAAACAGCAGATTCATCTCATCGGGCATCAAAAACAACCACTGGAAACAGGAGTTAAGGGAAAATATAATGAACACAGGAGGGTTAATACAGAAGACCAAAAAAATAAAATCTGATTAAAATGTAAACATGACTATAATTACTTAATTAGTATGGCATGTATGGGTGCTTAAAGGCTAATTCTAACAGGAAAACAGCAGATTCATCTCATCGGGCATCAAAAACAACCACTGGAAACAGGAGTTAAGGGAAAATATAATGAACACAGGAGGGTTAATACAGAAGACCAAAAAAAATAAAATCTGATTAAAATGTAAACATGACTATAATTACTTAATTAGTATGGCATGTATGGGTGCTTTCACACTTGTCATGTTTGGTTCGATTAAAACAAACCCTGGTGCGATTGCTCTGTTAGTGCGGTTCGTTTGAGTAAGTGTGAACGCTGCCATCCGAACCCTCCTGGTGCGCACCAAACAAGCGGACCGAGACCGCTGAAAAGATGGGTCTAGGTCCGCTTCCAAACGAACTCTGGTGCGGTTCGAATGATATATGAACGCAACATGGACCAAATACTTCCAAACTAACCAAAAACAGGAAGCAATGACAAGATGCGACACGATTTGGCGACATGTCATGGAGCAACGATGAGGTTGCAGGTGGTGAAAATAAAATGATATGTACACGCAAGAATGAGCGCGCTTAGTCCAGCAGGCGGCATTAGGTGTGTTCGACTTAAAGGGTTAGTTCACCCAAAAATTGTCATTAATTACGCACCCTCATGTCGTTTCAACACTGTAAGACCTTTGTTCATCTTCGGAAATAGATGGTGCCATTTTGGAGAGTATCAGCTGGACGTAAACAGCGTATGCTGTTCTGTGTCAGCTGCGTCACACGGATACGCTGTTTTCGTTCAGATCAAATCACAACAACGTAGGAAACAGATCCGGCGTGACGCAGCTGACACAGAACAGCATACGCTGTTTACGTCCAGCGGATACTCTCCAAAATGGCACCATCTATTTTCCGAAGATGAACGGAGGTCTTACAGTGTTGAAACGACATGAGGGTGTGTAATTAATGGCAGAATTTTTGGGTGAACTATCCCTTTAAAGAGGCGCTGAGCAGCAGACCGATCAGTTAATGGATGCTTTGATATCATACACCCGCAGCGCCGCTTTAAGTCTAACGCACCTTTTGTTTGGGGTGTTCGGTGAGTTGTTCCGTCACGATATATACGCCATTCAAGCCGACCGATCAGGTTGTGAACGTATCACTATGCCTTTAGGTTCGCCAGTGGACCAGGACCAAATGTATCATTTTCCTTTTTGGTCCAGACACAAGTGTGAACGCACCCTATATCTGAATCAAGAAACCCCGGCAAGAGCTTCATTTTGTAATTACTAGAAGAATTAAAGTAGTAGTTCACCACAAAAACAAGCCCTCATTTATTCACCACCATATGCTCTATGAAACGCATAAGAATGGTTCTCTCTTACACACTTCTGTTCTTCACACAGCGAGAACTCTACACGGCTGTAAAGCTCCAAAAAGGGCATCCGCGCTATATCTTACATTATTAACAGCAATTGCCACGGATTACACATTTTGTGATCAAGCGCAAACCTCCTTATTTGAATGAAAGAATAATGATGAATGAATTTAAATGGTCAGCTTTTCAAAATAACTTCAGGCGGCTTGGAAAACAACACACGAGTCAGATGGACCACTTATGTTTTGTTTTTTTAGAGCTTTACAGATGTGGTGACGATGAACTGTCATTGCGTGGAAAAGAGCAGATTACAAGCTATATTTCTCATAACGTAAAAAAGGTTACATCATATGATGTGCGTTATGGTTTTGGCACAACATGAGGGTGAGTAAATGATGGCTGTTCGCCCGCTTTTAGCCACCAAGCATTCTTTAGCGGAGAGAGGATACATCTTTTGGTCCTCTTCTTGTACATGATTCTGTAGCCGCACTCTCTGCATCTGATGGGGTCCCGGGCCTTGATCTCGTTCTCTGTGTGACACTCTGAAACACAGCAGCAGAAACACTGGACAGCTCAGACGGTGTGAGGAAAGACAGGATTATCAAGCACCAGCACATGAAGCATGAAGAGAGGAACTACCTCCACAGATATAGATCATGGGCTGCTGTTTAACTGGCTGAATGTCTTTCTGAGAATCCATGGCCTGAAACACACACAAACAGCTACTACTTAATGCATTAGTATAATGATTAAACACTATACATATATCAGATGAATTCTTAAATTAATATATAGTACCGTATCTACTTGTTACATGGGCTAGACTTTACTTTATTACTCCAATGTGTACGGACACGCTCTACTATTACTCGTTAGATGCATTATTCTACATATTTATATTAGATACAAAGCCGCACAATATTATTCTTAACTTCATTACCTCTCACGCGTGAGCTCTCGGTTTGCTACAAAGCGCTGTCGGCGTTCACGCATGCGCAGTACTTACAGAAGGACATCAGAGTAACGAACGCTGCTATTGGTTGAAACGAATGGTGGGAGGGGCTTATAATTGTACGCAGTTGCTGGTTTATGGGACTTTTATTTCCTTGTGCGGCGAAAAACTTCTGAAATCGCGGAGACATCGTTAAGCGTATATTCATCGGCAACCGTACGTAATCTTGCAAATATAGAAGTATTTTTTAATTTAATTAATTGTTTGAAAGTTTGGCTGTTAGTAATACGTCTTTAGTACTGCAATTAAAAATCGTGTTACGTATTATTGTTATTATTTGCACAATGGCGTTATTAACATTCAGTTACAAATATAAATGTATTATTTAGTATTTGTATCGCTGAAATGTGTTCTCCTGTGTCGGCTCTAAACAGGAAGTAGCGAGTCACAGCGGCAGCGGCGGTGGGCAGGGGTCAGGGGTCAGGGGTCAGGTGAGCCTGCTCGACTTACCTCTCACTATTGTGTTATGCTCTTGTTGTGCCAGTGTTGCTCAAACATTATCGTGCACAGTATCTAGTCTTCTTCGTATTATGAACATTAATGCGATGCTGTCAGGTATGATCCAGCCTCACCTTTCAGTTTCTCTTTCTCGGCATTGGTTTATCATTACACGACACAAGATATATTTCATAACAAGTTTACAACATCCAGTTACCAAGTATATCGATCTCTAATTACTCATGATTTCTAATTTCATTCCTAATTACTGTCTGTCTGTCTGTGTCTGTGTCTGTGTCTGTGTGTGTGTGTGTCTGTGTGTCTGTGTCTGTGTGTGTCTGTGTCTGTGTCTGTCTCTCTGTGTGTGTGTCTGTGTGTGTGTCTGTGTGTGTGTCTGTGTCTGTCTCTGTCTCTGTCTGTGTCTGTGTGTCTGTGTCTGTGTGTGTGTGTGTGTCTGTGTGT